CCCCCCAACCGGGCCAGCCGCTCTCCCCTCCACACCCCGATCAGGATGGCTGCCTGTTCAGCTCAAGGGTTTTCGGGAGCGGCCCAAGAGAGATGACACTGCCACAAACCACCTCAACCCCCACCTTTGATTCCTCCCCTAAACATCCAGTAATAAGTCCTGGGCAAGCCCAAAATACTCTTCCCTGTATCCAAGTATGAGTCCCATACCCCAAGACATCCCAGTATGAGCCCCATACCCTGAAGACATCCCAGAATGAGCCCCATTTCCCTGAGACAGCGACCACCCTTGGTCCAGCCGTTCACTCATGGTGATGGGTCACCACCACCCCACGGGGTTGGTGGTTCTTTCGGGACAGTGCCAGGAGGAGCCAAGCAGAGCGGTAGGTAAAGCAAAGCCAGAGACACCTTGGACTATCATCAGCTTTGGGTTAAGGGAGAAGATCTCGATGCAGATAAACCAGATGGGGTCCCTGACCTGCTGGACACCCCTCAGCTGAATTAATTCACCAGGTGGTGCCCCAGGGAGAGGGTCTCTTTCTCCAGGTGGGAAGCACCGAGGGGAGCTGCTAGGTGGTGCGAGTCCCTCGGTTGTGGGAGAGTAACCAAAAGAGACCGATTTTCCTTCTTTCGTCTCACCCGTTTCCTGCAATGAAGCAGCAAAGCCCAGTAGAGACCTCCAACCCTTCTACAGAGGAGCATTTGGTTTCATACATGACTGCAACCACATTGCACTTTCTTCCTTCATGCACACTGGCTCTCAGGCACTAGGTCTGTACTCTGCTCCACTGCAAACTGAAAACATAACATGCCTTATCCTTATCTTGAAGGTTTCACTAGCATCCTCCTGTCTTCCTACAAATCAGTGAGCAGCTGTTAGTTCCCTTCTGTCTGAAATTTTCTCTAGGGTTTGTGGTGGCAAGGTCCATTCTTTTGCTTGCAGGTGGGTCACCACGCAGGTATCCTCCCCAGTTGCCTGGGTTTGAAACTCTGGGTTTCACCCCGATCACAACCTGCCAGTGTCACTTGTTTGAAGTGACATAGTAGCGAATGGCTAGGGATGCATAAGCATGAACATAGCTGTCCCAGAGAAGAACTTTCCAACAATAAAGTGTGAGGAGCAAGTGGAGAAAGCTTTGAATGTGCTTTTGGCAAACCTGATTTGGAGGGCAGCAGAAAGGCTGAGGCTGTAGGACACCAAGATCAGCAGGAGAGGCATCAGGATGACAAAGGCAGCTGCCAGAATGATCTGGAACTCCTTCCAGCTGGACCTCACACCCTTTTAAATAACTGACAGCCTACACCCCATCTCTAGCACAAAGGGCAGGAATCCCCCATAGGTCCTGCATCACATCTGCAGTGTCTCTTGTCTCTGTACCACTGTATTTAGGGATCTCGTCGCTCCTCTGAAGTGAGTTTCAGCAGCTGAGATCTGAGCTGTCTTGATGAGCCATGGACATAAATCCCACCCAACCATGCAGCCATATTGATCACACGTGCATTAGTCTGGACGATGTCAGTTTTAAAGGAATAGTTTCATCTACACAGGGTTGGAGCTTAGGCACATACAATAGCTACCAGTCGGAGGATGAGACAACTTTCTGGTGCAAACCTCTCAAATATACACCAGGTTTTGAGTGTCAAGTTTAGACCTCTGGATGGACATAGGTGGCCTAGGCTCAGATGTACCATAGGATTAGGGGAAATCCCACCATATTAGCCAGGCAGGAGCCACAAAGATTTCTACGGTGGGACCAGACATCACACCTAGGCACCCCCTCAGCCCTAGATACAGAAGTGAGGGTCAGCTTGGGGTAGCCATGGTCAGTTAAAATTGCTCAAGAAAGATGCTTCAGGGTACTTCATCATGATCATGTCTGCAAGCCTTTAGGCTAACTAGTCTTTGAGAGCTCAGTAGAGAAAAGAGCTGCTTTATTACCCACCCATGTATGTTTGAGATCCCCCATATCCTTCCCCATGTGCACCCAGATGGACCCTCCTGCATGCACAGATCTTTCCTTTCCCCTCAGAGCAAGCTCTGACCCCATCTCCCCCACAACATCCCTTTTCTTCCAGCCCATTCCTCTCCCAGGGGGCTCAATTCCCCTCTGTCCCCAGCCCCATGGGTACTATGATCTCATCCACTCCCCTGTGAGCACATTGCCTTCTCCTCCATCCCTCTATCCTCTTTCTGGGTCCTCTGTGCACCTCTCCCTGCTTCTCCTTCCCCTTTACTGTACACTCAGATCCCCACCATCCCCAACTAGGGGTCTCTCCATGCCCAGGCGATGCCTCCAGGACCCCTGGGGTTACAGCAGAAGCTGTCCACAGGAGCCAGAGGAGCTCGTTAATCACCTTTTTATTTTATTTCAAGTGCTCTACACAAAGTCACTCACAACCCCAGGTGCTCCCAGCGCCCCTGTGCAGACCCTGCCTTGACACCCGCCGTAATCCAGTGCTCACCACTGCTGGGTGCAAGGCCAAAATAAGTTACCCCCGCTCCGTGCTGTGCTCCCAGGCATTGGGGCAGGTCAGCATCAGCCCTTGGGCACCGGCCCTGCCAGTGCCCGGTTCACCCAGAGTGCCCTGCACCAGGGTGTTTGCTTCGAAACCCAAAGTCACAGCAGCAGGCTCTGCCCATTCCCAGTGCTGCTGGCCCTGGCTCCCATCCCCTGCTCCCCGGGGGCTCAGCAGGGCATGGCAGCCTCTGACGGCAGCAGTGAGCACCTGCAGGGAAAGGATGAGGTTGGAGCAGTTTGTCACACTCCTGCTGCTGGCAGCTGCCAGGAGCCTGCCTGCCCAACCACCCCAGGGTGCCCTAGAGCTGCTGGCTTAAATTGCTGGGGGGATCGGATCCCCCCAGCTTTCCACCCCCCACTTTGATTCATCCCACAGGGATGTGCCATCAAGGTGTGGTGAACCTGATACAAATGCAAAACCCAGCACCAGCTGGCACGGTCCTGGGATTGCTAAAAGCAGAAGCAAAGCCACAAATATCAGCTCAGCCCAGTGAAGGTTTGGAGACTTGTGTCCAAATGGGTCCCCAAGGGGACAGAAGCAATAAGCCCCCAAATGCTGTCTGCTGCATCTGAGGGATCCCTGGCAGAAGCAGGGAACCATGCCAGGCAGTACTCACTCCATCTTGGCTTCCAGGTAGTGGATGGTCTGCTTGTCCAGGTAGCGGCAGAAGAGCGAAAGAAGGTTGCTGGGCAAGAAGAGAGGCTCCGACAGTAAAGCCTTGGGCACTTGCGACAGCTCCCGGGCGACCAGGAACACCATGTCTGTCCTGGGGGCATCAAGGCAGGGGGTGAGTGCCCCACTAGCCAGCAAACCCCAACCCCACTGCTCGCACAGCCCCTCACCACGTCTCGAAGTCCCCTCTGTGTGGCTCCAGTGGCACATCGGAGGACAGCAGCCTCTCGCCACGGCTCAGCAGGGAGTAGAGCAAGGAGATCCCAAACTGCAGGGAAGCACCAGGAGGAGTGTCACAGCCGGCACCGGTGGCACCCCGGGGGTGCCACAAGGCTCTGCCCTCCTGAGGACCGCGTACCTGGTTCTTCAAGGCCATGGTGAGGGGGAGCTCAGGGGACTTGGGCAGAGGCCTGGTCATCTCCTGCAGGACCTCGATGAGTTTGCTGAAAGTCATTCCACCCACCACCTCGTTCAACGGGCTGTAGAGCATGGGAAGAGACTGGGCAGAGCAGAGGGGAGAGCAGGGATCTGAGACTGTTCGATTCATCATGGCCACAACCCCATCCCAACACCTCTGGGGGGGACACAAAGGCCAACACTGCACCCCCCCCAGGGGGGGACTGCTACCAATACTGCTTTAAACCCTCCTGGAGACTTTTCTCCTCCTCCTCAGGGAAGAGGCTCCTGTCTCATGTCAACCACACCAGCTGTCTAGCCATGCTGGGACCCAGCAAGATGGGCCCCCTCCATTGCCCAGGGTGCCCCCCCCCCCCCCCCCACCAACACCCACGGGGGGCAGAGGAGC